AAGCACATACCTTTTAACCCACTCTTTCATGCTGGCCAGATGTCTTGGAATAGAGTACCCACGCTTTCCCCCACAGCAGGTGACCTTCCAATCGATTGCGGTGTGCCCATATATACTGCCCATTGGACAGAGGCGGTGAGATTTTAGAAGTTTGCCGAATTGATTAATCTGCCACGCCGACAGATCGAATCAAACCGGTGACCTCTGGATTACAAGTCGAGTGTGCTAACGGAAAATAAACACCAATGGTGTTCATGATTGTATCCTCCGTAATTTAATGATCATCATCATCATCATAAGACGGTGGTTTGAACTCCTGCTTTGAAATGCTGGCAACTTAACCTTGACGTAGATGGTCAAGGTTATTGTTTGTTTTGCGGTAAAAAGCGTGAGTGATCTTCAAAAGCAAATAAAAAGGAAGCATTTGAAACAATGACAGTTGAGATGTATTGATGTATGTTGTTCTTCTTTCACACTGTACGTAACCAACCGTGCTAATCGGAGGTGCGGGGAAAAGACAGCAAACTAAACGCAAAAAGCTGTTCTAAGGGAGTGATTTTTCAATCTATATTTAAAAGTGCATAGCTCCAGTGGCTTCCTCATCTCGGAAAGAAGAGCGTTCCAGACGGCCACAGAAGTGCATATACAGTGACCGTCTTTGTTCGACGGTTAGCCAAAAGCCTATGCGAGGACGACCGGAGTTTGTGGTCAAAACATGCCAAGTAGTTGCTAGTTCAATTCGTTGTTGATGTCCATAGAGGTTTTTTTGGGTGAGATCGCGTAAATATAGAAATGTGTCGTTAAAACCCGCCACCACCCGACACAGCCAACTAGTAAGGGTTGTCACATAAACAGAACGTGGCCAAGTCGTCACCAATGCAGCACTACACCGGTGTGTTGGAGAGCCAAGCTACAACATTTACAATCTGAGTACAATGTTTTACCAGTAATTACAACTAGCTTCATCAGGCGACAGCCAGATTTGTGGAGAAGTCTTACTATTTCGTTCCTTATATAGAGGCGTAGATGTGTTGACTACCCTTCTGCGCTCTTGCGCAATGTAGAGGGGGGGGGGTGGATTACTGAGGCAACGTACATTATGCATGCTGCATTATGCGAGACCTTTGAACTTATCCATCCTGTCTCTTGTGTTTATTAAAATAGCCCTACCAACGGTAATGTAAATGACCCCGGATGACTCTGGAACAATTTTTTTTACTGGATTATCTGCCATTTTATACCTAGGGCCTATTTTAAGATTAGTTTGAAAATCGGATTTTTTTTTTCTTCCGAGAAAGACATATATGTGTGTGTTCTAGTTGTGTCTCACACGCCATTTTAAAACTGTATTACACACATGTTCACATAGGCACATATGATTATAACACTGGTGGGATAATTGATCATTAACTGGAACCCTTGGTAAGATGGCATTAGTCGCAACGCAGGGAGGGATTCCAACGTGAACTAAACAGGAGCCGATCCAAGTAAGTAAGGGCCAGGGTATCGGATATTTCTGTCAAACAATACATCAAAATGATCTTCACTGCAAATACACAATCCCTCACCTTTCTATGGAAGTCTCCAACCTTGGCAAAAGTCACCGCCACACCAAGCGATGTGGAGTCCTCACGACGGGGGGGATAACATGTGGGCAGTGAGGAATTTAGAGCAAAGTGACAACAACAGGGGATTTCTAGACTCCGTTCAAGCAAGATTAGCTTATGCATTTTCAGGAGTGAATTGTTTTTTCTTATCGAGAATTGTTGTTCGCGAGGAGGAGTAACTCTTTCGAAAATTACCCCCAGCTCTCAAGAGAACTCGCCCTCCCCCCCACCCATCCCTCAGAAAATTAAATGTGGCATCCCAGTTGCTGTAATATCCGAGAGAACAGCGGAATGAATCACAAAAGTGATAGATTGCGGGGCTTGGCTTCTCGGGAGTCTAATGCGCCGTGTCGCCGGAGCCAGCCCAGTGCCTCCGATATCCCGGGTTTAAGCAGTGGGGTGCGACAGTTGAAAAATGAACATTGCATCCTCACTCTGGAAGAGGATCTCATGGAGCACGGATTTGATGGTCTTAGCCTAGTCAGTGACGACTGCATGTGCATACACACACACAAATAGACAACGACAAACATCCCGGTGTAGTTGTTAGTGCAACGCGCTGCAAAACCCAGTGAGCTGTGTTTGATTCCTGGCCACAACTAATGCCAAGATAGCTTGTCTTGCTCCCCGCCCCATCGTACCTGGTGCAGAGCTGGGGAGGGAAAGGCGGCCGGGCAAAGTGCTGCTGGACACACCACCCCCTTGTATGCCGTGCCGGCCTTCGTAATGAGTGGTGAGGTTTGCAGTGCAATGTGTTGACCACTGCATCTCCTCTCCCCTTGCACACACATCGTGACTTTCATGTCGTAGCTGACTTCATATTGGCTAAAACTCAAACGCTGAGAACCGAGACGCAAACATTTTCACAGATTGAGAACACTTTAGTCAATCTTAATTTTAGAGCTTTCGTGACTGCAGGAATTACTCTTTGGTTCTTTCGGTAAAGTCACGTATAAAGATAAATAATAAAGTATGCTATTATTAAAATTGCTAATTATTTAATTTATTATTTTATCTTTATACGTGACTTTACCGAAAGAACCAAAGAACACTTTAGTCATTTTGACCGTTCAACTTATTTGGTTAAGTGCGCCACATTGTCTACTCTTAGGGATACCATCCTGGAATCTGTTCCCTAGCGTCTCACGTGAAACGGGGTTCACTTATTCACTGGTTCATACATTCGTAGTATTAACCAGGGCAGCCGCTGTGCTCGAACCGCGAACATCTGCGAGAAGTGGTAATGCGCTACTGCTCCTGACCCTGAATTGTGGCAATTCACTGAATAACCGAAAGGATTAAGGGGTTCTGGGGACGGTGGCGTGGGGGGGTTAATCAGTTTCAACCCAACACTGAACCAGCACCGGAAAGAATCCTGCGCTTGAGTATTTTTACTGCCGCGCACTTTTGCAAAGTCTCTGCTGCGTTCGAAGCTAATTGAGGGAGAAACTACGCGATGTCTCGCCCGGCAGCTGTTCGCTCTCAACGAACTCTCCCCCCGCTGTCTGCAGGGACTCACAAATAGAGTACGGCTTTGCTTCGGCGGCTGACGCCAAATAACGCCATCGGTGTATAATTGGAAATTACCAAAAAAATAAAACTAACACCGGTGAACTGGGCGTTGATGTTGTTCACCGCCGAGAGCGGGGGGTGGGGATTTAAGGGCAGCGCTTTCTGAACGCAAGGTGAACGCCATTGAACCGGCATGAATGGAGCCACTGGGAGAAGTCCCACAACACCGAATTCTTAGCCTGTTTAACGGTTTAATACAGGATGCGAAAGCGAGGTCGGAGCCCGTGGAAGCAATTCTCTGCGGCGCGCGCCTGCCACTCACCGCACTGATAATGGAAACGCCGAGAAGAAAAAAAACGACGAGGAAATAAAAAAGAAAAGCAAATCGCACGCAGGCAAACGATTAAAAAGCCGCACGTATTTTTTTCGTACGTGAACAGCTCTTGTGCGGCAGTTATTTCACCGTGCTCCACCACGCGGGGAGCATAGACGTTGGAGCACAGTAGGGTACAATATGTTTGACGCACTGCCCTCTGACGACAACGTAGCCCCCGGTAGCAGCCTACAAAAGCTGATTGAGTGGTGGTTGCACATTTTTTTTACAAGGAGTCATGTTTGCATAGACCACAATACCTGCAGTCATAATGCAAACAAAAAACATAACTCTGATAATGTATGCACTGTCCTTGAAGTTGATTGGTCCACACCCGAGACAGCTTTCCTTAGAGCCTAGTCTCACATGGGTTGGCGTCATTTGGTCCAACCCATGTGAGACTAGGCTCTAAGGAAAGCTGTCTCGGGTGTGGACCAATCAACTTCAAGGACAGTGCATACATTATCAGAGTTATGTTTTTTGTTTGCATTATGACTGCAGGTTTTGTGGTCTATGCAAACATGACTCCTTGTAAAAAAGGTGTCAGTTTTGTTTCCAGATAGAAGGGTAAAAAAACAATTATCATATTTTTTTACTGGCAAATGAGGTTCCAATGGTGGTTGCACATTTCTCCAGGAATAATAAAATGTCATACCTTAGAAGCCAAGCAGGGTCGAGCCTGGTTAGTCTGGGGAAATAGTTAGTCACCATGCACACCACGTTGTTATGGACTATAAAACTATGTAGTGGTGAGTGCAGCAATATCCATTGTTGTATTGGACTTCTATGCTTCCCCTTCTATGCAGTCCACTTTCACTAACCCGCATCAGGCCACATGGCGACGTATGGTCAAATAACCCGCGTGATCCACATATGATGAGGGTGGGGGAGCCCTCATCCAGCAGCAGAGCACTGTTTTGATGCATGGCCGGGTGGCTCGGCGAGAGAACGAATGGCTTGCAATCGGAAGGTTGCGAGTTTAAATCCTCGTTAGGGGTCGGCTCATCATTTCTACTAATGAGCCGATCCCTACCGATAGACAAACCCCCACCGTAGGAATGCGGAATTATAATAATCCTTAAATTTTATATAGCGGCATCATTAATGCCAACAGCATCCCACAACGCTGTACATTAATTCTATATAAGGGGCAAATCCCATATAGGCGGCTGGCTACGCGTGGCAAGAACGAAGCCCAACACCAAGCAAATGGAGACCCCTACAACGAATGCAAAATCGAAAATTAGCAAAAAACAAATTAAGAAATGGCACCAAAATAAAAAGCTTACAAGCAGAAAAAAGTAAGCAAAGCAAAGAAATCCGTCCATCAGGAATGCTCCACGAAGCATAATGGGCTTCTTCCGGCAGTGAACTCAACATTGGCGCATGCGATGATGGATGAGTCGTGGAATTACACGTGGCAGTTCACCTCCATTGCTCACGTCCACCCAACCATTCGGTTGCCCGTGTGACCATCTGCTTTGATCTGTCTCATCCCTTGGCTCCAGGTGGTCGGCGACGCACGTGCAAGGACATCGGAGCACGGTTTGGGAAGCACCGCTCAGCACTGACGCACCTTTGCAGGTGAGCACGACCCTTCCTGCCACTCGTAGCAACAATCCCACACAAAAAAACGACTAAAAAACTAAGCTACTTCATTTTACCAGGCAAGGCTCACTGAGCCACGTAGCTCTTTTTCAGAAGCGACCCGGCCACAAAAGATAGCTCAACGAATTGGCTTATCGTGATGGGGAAATTTATAGCAGCCAAATATTCCAAATGCATGTTTCTAAATGTGGAAGGAAAAGCCGGAGGACCCAGGAGACAAATCCACGCGACCACGAGGAGAAGATGCAACATTCAAAGATATAGGCGTTAGGGTCGGGATCGAGCCTACACGCTCCTGTATACCAGACGAGGTAGTTAACATCTCGCCACCAAGATCCCAATGAAAATTCGTAACGAGCCCCGAGCAGTGCCTCGTATGTTGAACTTCTCTCGCACCGTACGTAGCTAATCGGATATGCAATTGGTCATCTGTGGAACGGCTCAGCATGGCGTGTTTCCCCACCCCCCCCCCCCCCCATTTTTTTTTTAACCAGGAACCAGCTACTTGCTTGTTGCCCAGTTCGCGGACTTGGCCATCCCCGGTTTTTTTTTGTGTTCGTGGAAATGCAGCGTTGGATTATTTATCAACTCGCAGCTGAAATATTAATCGCGCTCGGTCATCATTGCAGGCAGCGATTTGAATTGTCAACGTCATTCCAGCCGCACAATCGGTGGCGCATTCTTTGGGTGCTTCGGTAAAGTCACGTAGATAGGTTCAAAGAAAATACCAAAAAAGCTACGACGTTTCGATCGCAACACAGGCGGTCGTCATCAGTAAAAGGGTGAATGCGGAGGAGAAATTCGCATGCGCGGCGTGGCCACACACACACACACAAAAAACGGCAATTAAGGCGCCACGGTGCATTTTATGTTAATCGATATTGAACAATCTTGGGATTAGTTGAGGTCACTCTTTAAATCTCTTGTGAAGCACAAGCACGTAATGAATGCCCGCATCGATGTGCATGCTGATGGGTGGGTAGGGGGGGGGGTCTTTCCTTGCGAGTCGCCAAAGGCGGCCGCCGGGTTTCCTGCAGCTGCTGCTGAATCTTCAGCATCCCGGGACACGGAAGTTGCCACGCGCTCCGATCGTTGTGTGACGCGCGCGGTGCCCTTCGATGAAAACAAATGATGTCTTCGTACGAGCCTCTTTCGCACCGTACGTAGCCAAACGCACCAATCGGAGGCCCGGGTGAAGGACAACGAACTTGGACACTAGGAGCAATTGTAAAGAAATGTGTTTTCTTTCGATTTAAAGCTTTCGTGACTGCAGGGATTCATCTTCTTGGTTCTTTCGGTAAAGTCGTTGTCTTTATTTCCATTCTACGTGACCAAGAAAATGTGTTTTCAATCGAGATTTAAAAGTGGCACAACTTCAGTGGGCTTCCGAATATCGGAAGAGATTTGCATCAGCGGTCCCCGATCGCAATGTTGTGTTTCGTCAAAATTAGTGCTTCGTCGAATTAAAACAAATATCTCTTTTGGAATATCAGAGCGGGTTACACGTGCGTCAGAATGTGAGATGAGCTGTACATTAAGCAGTGGGACGTGACCTCGCAGCATCTATATTTTACCGTGCCGCGGCTGAAAATGCCTCGGGTGGTGTTCGTGGAGGGCTGTTGTCTGTAAAATATGATAATCCCGTCAGCTTTTCGCAGCGCAGGCCACACCGCTCTGCTGTTGAGATGCCGAGAATTCAAAACCAGTTGACGGTTAACTCGCGCAAACAGATGCTGCTGGACGGTCGATTGGTTTAAAGTGGCCGATGGGTTCGTGGGCTTTCAAACGTGATTTTTATTGTGTGTAGAAACAGACTCTTGTCCGTGCATATAACTACTTTATTCTTGCAGGATATTGTTGCATCTCCACGCTGAGGGGCCGTCCATAAATGACGTCACGCACCTGGAGGGGAAGGGGGGGGGTCAGACATTTGTGACGATGTGTGACGAGGGGGAGGGGGGTTTGAGAAATGTCACGTCACATCAAAATGCGCAACTTTAAATAAATATAGACAACACGTTTTACTTAATTAAATAGACTTGTTAATAAATGTTTTCTCCTACAACATCAGAGTGCAGCGCCGCATTAAATATGCACTAAAATGACAATAGTTTAAAGCGATTTGAAGCATGTTTAATTTTCAAAATGAAAATATGGTTTTGGGGGGGTGGAGGGGACAGAGCTTTGTGACGTTATTTTTGAGGGGGGGGGTCTGACTTTTTTTGACGCCGTGTGTCGAGAGAGGGGGGGAAGTCATTTATGGACGGCCCCTGACTCATGAAACGCGCACACCCAATGCAGTGTGTGCGCACCGCGGGTTGTTCACACATCCAACCCCTTTCACATATCCGCCTGCACCTGAGCTGTTCGAGAGTCGGACACGTGACATCGTTTGTTGTAATGGAAAACACTTCACTCGGTCCGTCAACAAAGCCATCGGCGAAATGTGCCATGATTCCAATGTTTTACAGTATACACAATTTTTTTTTCTTCTTCAAGCAAGCAAAACTCTTGACTGGCTGTGAATTTATGAGAACCACTGTACCGCGCTTTGCTCTGCACTCGGGGCATGTGTGTTGACGTGGCTGTCTCGGGACCGGGACGTGTGTTAATTGCGTGCGTGCGATGGCGGTTTCATCTACACACGCCCAAGTAGGCGCGCGTACACACGAAACAGACAAAGATCCCCCGTGTAGCCTTAACAGACTGATGGGGCCAGTGTTGTTAGCGAGCACCTATGAAGGTCGGCACGGAACGCGAGGAGGTGGATGGCCAACATCACGGCCGACCGCCTTCGTCTCCCCAAGTACTTATGTAAGGCTGAGTCGACCTAGGCGAGGCCCAGGACCGGCTTAGATAATTGTCACCGGTGCTGGCCGTGAGCGGGAATCGAATTCGGATGGCCGGGTTCTTAGCGCAGCGCTCTCACTGCTATATTATGCGGATACGCACACAAAGACAAAGATCCCCCATATAGCCTGTAACAGACTGTAGGGGCAAGTGCTGTTAGCGAGCACCTATAAAGGCCGGCACGGCACACGAGGGGGTGGGTGGCCAACACCACGCCTGGCCGCCTTTGTCTCCCTAGCGGCGATGTTTACACATCGCACCAGGTACTCATTTGAGGCTGAGTCGACCTAGGGGATGCCCAGGACCGGTTCAGATAATCGTCACCGGTGTTGGCCGTGAGCAGGAATCGAACCCGGGTCGCCAGGTTCGTAGCGCAGCGCGCTAACCGCACACACGCGCGTACACACACGCACACACACGGACGCGCACGCTCTCCTAAATTGCATGGCCTCTTCGCTGTGGCTCACTTAAAAATCAATGCTTGGACCCCTGCACGCGTCCATGCATCATACCTCTGCAAATTGCCATTATTGTGGCTTAACGCACGTCGCGGGACGTAATGGGAATACAGAGAGAGAGAAGGAATCACGTGGCGTGGATGCAATGTTCGACGAAACGAGCTGCCCGTTTCGGAATGTTGGCGCTCTTCGTTGTTATGAGCTGTTGTGTATAAATAATAATAATAGTGATGTATTATTTGGTTAATTCGGCGTGGGCGGTGGTGCACAGCCACAGGTCACGCAAACGGGTTGGCTATTTTTTAGTTGTTGAATGTAGTGTATGTGAATAATAATGGTAATCATTCACAGCACATTGTCAATCCACTGCTGGATGAAGGCCTACCCCCTCCACACGATGTTGGGTGTTGGGGCTGCGTGACCACGCGTCACCATGCTGGGCAGTGGAGGTTGACGAAGCCGTGGGTCTTGTGCAGATTTCACTCAATGCCGATAATCAGCCTTGGGCGAGATTTTAATCCAAGCCACTGGTTTCACAGCGTTGTGCGTTAACCACCGTGCCACCGCATCCCTCTGTTTTGTTTAATATTTCCTTATTATATATATGGAAATGTGCTCTTTAAGATCATTCTCTGGCCAAGTGTTGCGGTGGCTAAAGCACGTGTCTCACAACGGGATCAACTCAGCCCTACATTCCTTCATCCCTTTGGTGCCGATAAATAAATATATATGGTAATTATCTTTGTTTATCCAGGGAAAGCCTCATGGAGTCTCACTATTTATTTATTTGTTTCCCGGGAGGACCCTGCATGTTTGGCCATTCAATTAGTGTGTGTGTGTGTTTGCGGGGAGCGGTAGTGTAGCGGTTAGCGCTACGCTGCGCTACGAACCCGGCGACCCGGATTCGATTCCCGCTCACGGCCAACACCAGTGGCGATTATCTGAACCGTTCCCTGGCCTTCCCTGGGTTGACTCAGCCTCAAATGAGTTCCTGGTGTGATGTGTAAACATCGCCACTGGGGAGACAAAGGCGACCGGGCGTGGTTTTGGCCACCCACCCTCTCGTGCGCCGTGCCGGCCTTTATAGGTGAAGCTCACTTACAGCCCTTGTCCCAACAGTCCGTTGAGGCTATACGGGGGATCTTTGTTTTTATTTGTGTTATGAAAGGCAGCCAGAGTGCCCAGAGAAACCCAGGACATGTGAGGAGACAATACGCAATAACTCTTCATCTGCTCACATTGCAGCCAAAACTTACAGCACTAGGTAGGTCCCAGGCATTCTCCCATCCAGGCGATAATCTCCTTTCACATTCTGAGAACGGATGCAGTTTAGGGCTATTTTGTCAGAGGTGGATTGAATACCACTCTGGGGATATTGACAATGACCGCCCTGTGCATCATGAGCGTGTCATCGTAACGTGGAATTTGCACGAATGGTTCAGAACTCTACGTATGAGATGAGCACCGCCCCACGATAATTATAATTAATGTCAGACTACTTTTATTTTCATCGTATGACATGCCTTCTCACCAAAATTGTTTCATCTTAAAATAGTTTTTTTTCGTGTGCATGAGTGTTGTTTTTTTCGCACGTTAAGTTGTGAATTGAGGCTGTATCTGTAATGGGGATGATTTTTAATAGCGCGTTGATTACATAAAAAAGTCACG